CCCCGAACAGACAAGCCCCCCAGAAAAAAACGCGCAAGGCGCAACGGACACCACGATATTTTTTTGAAGAGCCTGCTGTTGAAAAAAAAAAACACATGCAACGCATGCCCTAGCAACTGCAGCAGCAGCAAGGGCGAAAACCCATTCCCATTTGTCCCTACCCCGAACAGGCAAGCCCCCCCGAAAAAAACGCGCAAGGCGCAACGGATGCCACGATATTTTTTTGAAGAGCCTGCTGTTGAGAAAGAAAAAACACATGCAACGCATGCCCTAGCAACTGCAGCAACAGCAACCCCAACCAGCTAGCTAGTTATTGTTGCCCTTCGCCTTCGCCAGGTCTACCTGGAGTTGCATCATCCTGATTTGGTGATCACGATCTTCCTTTTGCTCTGCCCGTGCAGTCGCCCTCTCCATTTCACGCTCTTGTCTGTCGTGTTTCCTTTCATCTTCCCGCATTGCCCTCTCGTGGGCCATCATGTCCAGGAGCTCTTGCCTCCTCCCTACTTCTCGTTTAGCTTCCGCCGCCCGCCTCCTCTCGTCCTCTTCACGTTTCTGATCGGCGAGTGCCCGAGCGTCAGCCACCTGTCGCTCCATGAAGCTGGGACACGTGGCACAACGGCGCAAGAGAGGCACCAGGGTAGGGTAAGCTCTGGCACCTCCCTGATGGAGTAGCCAACAATAATGCTGCGATGACACTTCTCTGGTACAGGTTACGTCCACCAAAATAATCTAACAATAATGCACAGCGTCTACCACACGAAGGAGCTGCCTGAACCAACACATGGGCAGAGTCGACGAACAGCCTTACCTATCTAGCCCATCCTCGGCGAGCTTATTGGTCTTGGCACGGGGCTTCCTTCCACGGTTTCCCGAGGGCCCACTCGCAACCCCTGAAGGGTCCATGCCTGACATGGCGCGCGCACACCCCTCTGTTGCAGAACCGGGGATGGATGTCTGACCGGCGGCGGACAGCCCGGAGTTCGTCACGCCGGCGCCAAGCACCAACAACCTCGCCACCCGCTTCGTAACCTGAAGCACCTTGTCCGGCGTAACACGTTCTATGGGCCATCCGCTGTGAAACCAATTCGATTCCGGCAGGCTGCGGAAGTCCATCATTTCCACGCCGTAGAGCTCGAGCAGTTTAAACATGACCGACTCGTCAAACCTATCAAATCCGGGCAGCTGCATATCCTCTTCACCAAGATCATCCATGTAGTCCTGGACGCTGTCTCCGTCGCGCTGGGGACTAAGCCTTTTGTCGAGTAGTACCGCCATCATGGCCACGGCCCTTTCCGGCTGAACTTCATCGGCCGTGAAGCCCGTGTTGAGGAAGTAGTCCGCGTCCTCCGTGGTGACCCCGGCACTTTGCGCAGGCGTCGGAATGCTCAGCGACCCCATGTGCTTCACCAATTCGCCAAGCGGTGGAACCTTCCTCGATGGCCCGCTCCCCGCGGGCGATAAGTCGTCGTCTAGCCCGCCCNATGTGCTTCACCAAGTCGCCAAGCGGTGGAACCTTCCTCGATGGCCCGCTCCCCGCGGGCGAGAAGTCGTCGTCTAGCCCGCCCGTACTCATGGTCGGGCTCGATCGACCGCTAGCAGCGCCACCCGCCGAAACCTCCGACGCGGGCCTCAACCCCCCGATGCTGCTGGCCGGATTCACCCGACCGCTGGCACGGCCACCGGCTGCTGCACCGGAGCGGGAACCCAACGCGATGTTGTCGGCGGCAACAGCTTCTTCGAATGATGTAGCCTTCGCGCCCGGCCCGCATCGGGCGTTGCCCTTGTTGATGGCCCACATTNTCTCGTCAGCTCTACGACTTACAAAGTGCATCACTAGCGTCGGCGATAGCTATATGCATCGTCTGTTTTGTACTTCCGTGTCAACACTGCTACGTCACGCCCCTAAACAATACAGAGTGGGCGTGAAAACCTCGACGCTGTTTTGATTTTGTGGGTGAAGGACCGTCTCAGCAAGCTAACTCTGCACGTTTTGCGTCGCCTGGCGTGTAGCACTCGGGCTTGCGTGCTGTCTATCTACTTCTGTCTTTCTTTTGTCATGCTGCGCATTTTAAGTTGGACTTACGGCTAACACCTGTGCGTACCCCTCTTATCTGCAAGTGTAACGTTGGTGAAGACGGCAGGCATTTTCTTCGGTCGGGACAGCGCAGGTGTTTCACGATACTCTATGAATTGTGGATTCTCCATGTGCAGATATTCGTGCCCGTCTTGTTTAGACTGTGCCATGATCGTGTACACTCAGGTTTGCGCTCGTCACAAAAGGTAGAGATAGCTTACTCTAGACTCCTCACCAGCTGGACCTTGGTATTCTTCTCGACTTCGTCCTCCGAGCCACTCTCAGCAGTGCCGGCTCCGGAGTCCCGCAGGGCTTTACCATCGCTCTTGCTCTGGTCGTCAACGATCTTGTCGTAGCGATGCTTGCAAATTGAAGACGACTTATCCTTGAACATCCTGACCAAGGGCTCCTGGTTGAGAGTCTTCCAGCAGGTGTCCCACCTTTCGCCGACCGAACGCCCGCTCCCATTCACTTTCAACACTACGTTCTGCAGACCTGTAGAGGACAAGGGTGGGAGCGCCTTTGATTGTCGTAGTGGGGACTTGCCTCGGCTCCATTTTGAACACTAGATACATGTGCGTTTTGAGTAGAGGAGGGGGCACAGGTCTCGCCACTAAACGAGTCCGTGAACACCGGCCGTCTTGCAGCGCACGGAATGGCTATTGCGCAGAGTGTCAACTGCACCGGGTCCGCGGTGCTTCGCAGTAGTTGTTTCGACGTTCTTTCGGGTAGACTGCATCTACTGTGGCTACAGCAGGATGCAGGATAAGTAACGCTGAGGGTAACCCCTTTTAACATGATGCAAGNCGCAGCAGCGGATCCGCGCCCGCCATAATAGTCCGGCTATGTGCCGTTTTGTAGCGAAAAAATACTACATAGTCGAGTACACCTTGCGCTTGCAATCTTGTGCGCACCTTTGTCCTGCTGGTTCCATCTAAAGGCGACATGTGACATTATTTGCAAGTAGACTGCATCTACTGGAAGATGCAGCGGCTTCGTACGCCCAAAAATCTCGTCGCTGCTTGTAAATTTTAAACATGATGCCACATGTGACGTGCATTTTTTCCACGTCGGAACCAGTGCAAGAATGTCTCACCTTCTTCGTCAAGCAAGACTTGTATCTCCCCTACGAACACCGAATATAGCTTTGTGTTCCTACCCTACTCCGCTGCTATTCGATTGAATCTTTCGTATATGTTGTGCACTCGTTGCACCCTCATTGCCAAGGATCAACAATCTGGTTCGGAGTGGCTGTCTCTTTTACAGTTCAAAAACAGCGTGCATGTATGCGCGCGCACATGGGTCGCTCCCTCAACCCCAGCAAAGGAAACAACTAACTCCAGCACAGGAAATCGCACCAGTACGGAGCCAGCAAGTACGTATACCACTGCTAACAGCATATTCGCCTGATTGAGAGCGTAGCATCTGATTGAGAGCGAGATTGCGCGATACGCTGTAGCCGGACATTCACTGAGAGGTGGAGCTTGCTGTGTAGCTTGAATTGAAGGGCTAGCCCGTAGCTTCAAGCCGCTACCCTGGTCATCCTGTGGGAGTCTCTCGTTGTGGAGCTACAGCGGGGAGCAGAAGCTACAGCAGAGCCCACCGCCCGACGCGATACCGCCCT